GTGTGTGCATGTGTGAGTGTGCCTGTGTGAGTGTGTGCATCCAGGACACTGGCAGGGAAGAGTCGGGACAAACGTTCCGCCTGTTCCCCTGGTTGGAAGGCGGCCTTAACCGGAGCGTAGACCCACGCTTGAGGAAGGCATAGAGAACGAAGAGAGAGTTCGAAGCGGGTTTAACGAAATCGATTATTATAATACCAGTTGGATTAAATGAAAAATCTCGATACTGAATTTCATTCATGAATTCATTAAACAAGGTAGCATTTCTATAAGGTACCTGGCAAGTGCCTGGCACAGAGTCAGCAAAAGCCACTGATATGTGTAGATGTAGGGCCGCCTGGTTTTTGTCTTTTGGGGACGGAATGAGCTATAACAGGCTTAATAAGACTTGTAGGAGGGATTCACATATAGGAGGAGCTTTTCAAGAGCAAAATTGTAACCCAGAACACCATAGTAAAACCAGAGTGTGTCTACTCGGAGGTTGTTAAGAGATATATGGGGAAAGGGCATTAGTAAGGTCTTATCTAAAGATGTACTGCACTAATTTATTTAAAGATTCTTTTAAATACAGTGTAAAACTTTTTCACTTGTGAAATATACATACAGAAAAATGCATAAATGTAAAGTTTAGCAAATTGTAAATGAACACCCAAATGAACCCTACCCAGGTCAAGAAATAGACCATAATCTACTCTCCGGAAACCCTTAACATACCCGTTTTAGATCACAGCCCTCCCTCCCTGCTACTGCTAAACCACATCTAAATTTTTACAGTGTTCACTTCCTTGCTTTTTATGGTTTTGCTGCCTAATGACCCAGTTTTACTTGGCTGTTTGCGAACGTCACACAAGTGGAACCCTCCTCTATGCACTCGGCCTCTTTCACTGAGCGTTGCATCTTTAAGATTCAGCCCCGCGTGGAGTTCGCCCCTGGCTGGTTTCCGTTGTGGCAGACTCCCCTACTGAACGACAGGATCGTGCTTATCCGACTCTCATGCTGATGGTCACTGGGGCTGTTTCCAGTTTGCAGCTGTGATAGACAGTGACAGAATCTCTTTCTCCATGGATTTCGGTACACATAAGCACGTGTTTCTGTTTCCTTTTTGGTTTTTATCCTAGGACTAAAATTGCAGAGATGTGAGGAACGTGTATCCTGGCCCTTAGTGTTAATAGATTCACCAGTTTGTTTTCCATGTACACTTCCTCAGCGGCATGCGAGACTTCCTTCTGCTCCATGTCCCTTCTGACACTTGGTATCATCAGACTGTTTTGATGTTTCTGGTGGGTGGAGAGTGGTATCTCACTGTGGTTTTAATTTGCATTTCCCTGATTACTAGTGAGGTTAGACACCTCCTCATGCCATGGCCGTTTGAATTTCCTCTTTAGTGAATGTGCCTGATCAGGTCTTTTGAGCATTTTCTCCTAAGGCTGTCTACTCTTTTCTTATCAACCCATAGGAACTTTTTAGTCTGTTGGTCGTGTGCTGTCTTTTCCTATTCTGTGGTTTGCTCTTTCATTCTCTTTCTGAGGTTTACACCTCTAATTTAAACCTCTAAGCTCTCACCTAATCCTGATTTAAAGAACTCTCTTGCCCATCCCCACCCCAAACTACGGCAAAGTTCTTTATAGAATGCTTTTCGAAAGTATTTATGATTAATGAGTGAGCTGCGATGGAACTGTAATCAGTTTCTTAAACATTTTTTACGTCATTCAAAGGACTTTTTATTTTGAAATAATTATAGATTCACAGGAAGGTGCAAAGACACTACAGAAAAGTGCCACTCATGGGGTTACATCTTATAGGACGGTATCAAAACCAGAAAATTGGCATTGGTACATTGTGCGGCTATAGTTGTATGTCATTTTATCACACATGCAGATTTGTGTAACCACCGGCACAATCAAAATCCAGAACTTTCCATTGCCACAAGGTCTCCCTTGTGTACTGTTTTCTAGGCATGTCCACTCCCTCTCCCCGCAGTCCCCCACCCTGGGTACCACTGATCTGTTTTCCATCTCTATACCTCTGTCATTTCTGGAGTGTTTGTATGTATATATGTAGAATCATACAATACGTGTCCAACCTAAATAAAAGACAGAGACTCTCTTAAAAAATGATATTTATTTAAGAGCAGCCTTGCGATGGGAACATGTCGGGCATATTCGGGGAGGGAAAGGAAGACAGGGGTTTCTAAAGGAAAAATGAGGAGGGCTACATAAGTTATTTTGAAACAATTATCATGGGCTACAAAGATCAATAACAAGGATGGTGTCAATCCAAGGTTGGACAGGCAGTTGCTGGGCAGATGTCCTCATGTCCTCACACAGGTAGTTTTTTGTGTGTAAGGCTATGGTGGCCTTCGTGCAAGATTGTGGTTTCTGCAGGGTTGTGATAGTTCTTGTTACCAGGTGGACGTGCGTGAGAACATCCTTCATGGCATTCATTTGTCGGGGTTTTGACACGAGTGGCTCTGTTTTGGTTCTGACGACTTTTACATGTGTTGCCTTTTGGGATTGGCCTTTGTCATCGGCATGATGCCCTTGACATCCGTCTAA